ACTTGCAAACGTGGGGAGACCTGTGCTATCAATAGCTGCCTCTGGTCTGTACCTGAGTGACTGGGATGGGGACAGCAGGATGGGGATGCTGGGATGGGATTGATGGCAGCGGTCCTGGCAGGACCCTGTGCCGGTGGCTGTGCCCGGGGCATTGCGGGCCCCTCACAGGGCTGTACCTGTGGGCCGATCTGGAAAGCATTACACGGCTGTCGTGTGGGGAAGTCTGTCCCAGTTCCGGAGCTGGGACCCTCCCAGCCAGCCCAGACGGAGCGGGAGGGAGCCCACAAAGCGCCTTTGTTCCTGGTCTGGAACGAATGGATTGGAGGCAGCTGAGATCGGCTGTCAGCCGGCGACATCGGAGACCCTGCAGGTCAGGCAGAGGGAAGGGGGACAGGTGGAGGGATGGACGGATGGACGGATGGACAGACACAGGGATGGCTGGCTTTGGCAAGGCTCACCCCCATGCAAGTTGGGACCTGGAGGTGCTCCTGGCACGGTGTGTCCCCCCAGGAACACGGGGCATGCAGAGCCCTGCAGAGATCCCCATGCTTGTGACGCAGCCTGGGGCTTGGCAAACCCCCCCTCCCTGCCCCGGGGTCCCATTTCTGTGTGCGAGGTGATCTGTATTGCCGAAGGAGCTGCTACCTCATCCCTCCCCCCGCGCTCTACGGAGAGGAAACTTTTTAGCACGCCACAATTCTTCGCAGAAATTTACGGCCCATGAGGGAGCCGTGCAGCAGGGCCGCTCTCTCCGCGCACGCTCGCAGGGTTTCCTCCCGGCGGAGGCAGCTTTGATGCGACGCATGCAGCCTGGCCGTGCACACCCCCAGCCCCTGCCCTGGCAGCCCCCAGCCCAGCCGGCCCTTCCTGCGGAAACGCAGTGGAAGCAAAGCGTGCCCCAGCAGCAGGCAGCACCGTGCTGCTGTGCAAAGGGATGGCTGCAAACCCCCGCAGAGCTGCCCGTGCCCTCCTCCCAGCTCCCAGCCCCGGCCCATTCCTGCCCTTGAAGGACAGGATCCAGCTGGCATGGAGTGTGGCCAGCAGGCAGAGTGTCCGGACGCAGTTCCTGTCCCAGTCCTGCTGCTGACTCACAGTGTGATGGGGTGAGTCAGTGGCCTTTCCCCTCCCCGGTTCCTGGCTCAGAGGGATGCCGGATAGCTGTGGGATGCTCAGTGTGGTTTTTCCAGTTTGCACATGGGGTGAAGACGTGGCATTTGCAGAGCTGATAGCATCCCAGCATGGTGCAACTGCTCTCAGAAGCAGAGTCGAGTCAACCCTAGGGCGGCAAGGACTGACCCCGTATTTGTCCCCATCAGAGCACCCGACTCCCAGCACAGTGCCTGTCTGCTGACACAGCATTGGGTACCAGCACAGTGTCCATCCCCACCCCACGTGTCCCTGTGCCCCATCTCACAGCTGTTCCCAGCCCCTGCCACTCCCAGCACCAGCACACGGACCAGGGAGTTTGGTCACCTTTATTCCCAGAGCAGCAGTGGGTGTCCCCTGGAGACAACCGCATGGAGAAGGGGCTGTGGGATGCATCTGAGGATGGAGCAGGCAGCTCTGGAGCAGGCACAGCCCAGAGTGAGCCTGGAGTGGCGGTGGGAAGGCTGGGAGTGGTGAGTGCCCCGATTCAGGTTTGTCCTGGTTTGTGTGTCCCAGTTCGGCGGTGCCCTGGTTCAGTGGTGCCAGGCTTTGGTTTTGTCCTGTCCCAGTTCCACGTGCCCCAGCTCGACCCACTCCTTCCCGGTTCAGAGATGTTCCGGCCCAGCTGTGCTCAGTGGGTGTCGCTCTGGTTCGGTGCCGCGCCGGTTTGGGGGTTTCCCATTTTGGAGATATCCTGGTTCGCAACGTCCCGGCTCGCGATGTCCCGGTTCGGAGGCGTCTCGGTTCGCGATGTCCCGGTCCGATCCCTCCCCGCCCCGTTCCCGCGGCACACGGTCGCCACCTCCCGGCCGCGAGTGACACCCACCGGCACCGGGACCCCCCCGCGACCCCATCCCAACCGCAGCGCCGGGGGCGGGCGCGGTGTTCGGCTGAGCCCCGGGGCTGAAGGAGGGGTCCGCCTCAGCGCAGCTCGGGCGTAGAGGAGCCCAGGTAGGTGCGGAGGTCGCTGAGCGTGGACGGGATGATCTTGGCGGGGATGGTGTCCCGCTGCAGCTCACGGTGCGCCGCGTAGCGGTGACACCCACCGAAGGAGTAGAAGTAATCCCCGCCCTGGCTGCCCTTGATCCATAGCACGTCGATGGGGGGGACCTGCTCGGGATCCTCCTGGGGGGAGAGAGGGCGAAGGAGAGAAGGATGGAGAGCGCCGCGGTGCTGCGCGCTTCTTCGGCTGTGCGCCGGCAGCCCCGAACCGGGGAGGCCCGAACCCGCGGTGTCCCGACCCCCGAACCCTCCCGGCACCCCGGGTCCCTTCGGCACCCCCGACCCTCCGCGCCTCATAGAACCCGGCACCCCCGACCCCATGCACTCCCGGCACCTATGATCCCCCCGGCCCCGCACAGCCCCAACACCCCGGGCTCCCCGGCACCCCGAACTCCTCGGCACATCCGACCCAGCACCTGTGACTTTTCCGGCACCCCCGACCCCTCCGGCACCCCGGAGCCCTCGATACACCCGACCCCGCCGTCTCCGCACCCACCTGCAGGGTTCGCACCAAACTCCGCACTTTCTCCGGCTCCAGCACGGAGGGGATGGGCCGGATCAGGACGCTCATGGGCACGTTGTGTACGGCGGCGATGTGCTGCGTGTGGATACTCGCGGTGCCACCGTTCCCCTCTTCCTCAGCCATGGCCACCGCCGCCACCTCCGGCCGTCGCTCCGCCGCTCCTCGCCCCGCACCTCCCGCCCCCGCCCCGCGCAGCGCCGCTCCCCGCAGCGCCGCCCGCCCTCCGCCCGCCGCCATCGCCGCGCTTTGCAGCGTCACGGTGAGACCGCGGAAAGGGTTGGTTGGCCCCGAGGTCCGAGGGCGGAGGTGCCCGGGTCCGTGCACTGAGAATCGGAGAGGGGGGGGTCACGGCCTGGAGCTGCGTGGAACCGACACGGATGGAACGGGGTGGAGGGGTAGGGGTGGGGGAGGAGGAGTCGGGGTTGGGAGGGGGTTTCAGCCGTGGGTCCGTCTTCGTGGAGCTGTGGGATATCCCGGATTAGAAGGAATAGAGGTCACCGGGTCTGGCTCCAGGCTGGGATGGATGTTCTGGGACATTTCTGGGTCATTTCTTGGAATCAGTGTCCCCAGTGGTGGAGAGGTACTGGGAAAGAGTTTGGGTCCCCCACGCCCCTTGTTCTGAGCCCCCCGCAGCCCTACCCAGACCCCTGTACACCCCCTGTCCCAGCTGCACGGTTCTCTATCCCCAGTGCTGACTCAGGGTCACATCCCACGGCCAGCATCTCACGCAGTGCTGGGTGACCCCTCTGCCCTTCACTGGTGACGGTGAGGATGAGAAAGGACATCACAGCAGAACCCCATTGGTGGATTCGGGATGCAACACCCAGTGATCCCAGCTGGGCAGTCCCCAGGATCCCCACCCCACTACTGCGACTCTGCACTTTGCTTTGCTTTCAGGTCAGTGCTCTGCTGCTCCCCCTGGTGCTTTTTGCAAGCGGGGTGCAGCACTGCAAGCGGGATCCAGTGCCGTTAATGGGGCGCAGTGCCGTTAATGGGGCGCAGTGCCATTAATGGGGTGCAGTGCCATTAATGGGGCGCAGTGCCGTTAATGGGGTGCAGTGCTGTTAATGGGGCACAGTGCCATTAATGGGGTGCAGTGCCGTTAATGGGGCACAGTGCCGTTAATGGGCACAGTGCCATTAATGGGGTGCAATGCCGTTAATGGGGCACAGTGCCGTTAATGGGGTGCAGTGCTGTTAATGGGGCACAGCGCTGTTAATGGGGTGCAGTGCTGCTGATGGGCACAGTGCCATTAATGGGGTGCAGTGTTATTAATGGGGCGCAGTGCTGTTAATGGGCACAGTGCCATTAATGGGGTGCAGTGCCATTAATGGGGTGCAGTGTTATTAATGGGGCGCAGTGCTGTTAATGGGGCACAGTGCCATTAATGGGGTGCAGTGTTATTAATGGGGCGCAGTGCTGTTAATGGGCACAGTGCCATTAATGGGGTGCAGTGTTATTAATGGGGTGCAGTGCTGTTAATGGGCACAGTGCCATTAATGGGGCGCAGTGCTGTTAATGGGCACAGTGCCATTAATGGGGTGCAATGTTATTAATGGGGCACAGTGCCATTAATGGGGTGCAGTGCCATTAATGGGGCACAGTACTGTTAATGGGGCGCAGTGCTGTTAATGGGCACAGTGCCATTAATGGGGTGCAGTGCTGTTAATGGGCACAGTGCCATTAATGGGGTGCAGTGTTATTAATGGGGCGCAGTGCTGTTAATGGGGCGCAGTGCCGCTATTGGGGCGCAGCACCATTTGCAAAGCTTGCACTGCAGGTGCCACCGCTCCCCTTTGAGGATGTGCACAGAGCACCTGCTGCCCACCCACCCACCTCCGTGTGCACAAAGAGCCCAAGACACAGCTGGTAGTGGCAGAAGTCCCTTTTATATCCCTGAATTGCATTACAAGTAATACTGCGGGCGGTCGGTTCTCCTCTTACCGCGGCCTGTCCAATACAAAACCTGGCAGAAAAAGAAAAGCGATCATGCACGGAAAAAATTATTGCTGTGGTATCCGCTATGTACAGTATAACACACGGGGCAGCCCAGCCCCGCACGCCGCGCTGCCCGAGGGGACGCACGAAAAATGCCGCAGCTCGGGCTGCCCACGGAGCTCCAAGTGACCCTGGGAGCCACGGGCACGGCGGGAGGAAGACTGCGGTGGGAGGAAGACGGAGCAGGAAGACTGCAAAGGGAGAGCCGGGCTGAGCCCCTGGGTGCCGAGGCCCGAGGTAGGAGCGGCTCGCTGCGGGGCAGGGGTTGCATAGAATCGCTGCTTCGTCCCCGTGCAGGGAGCAGAGCGGGAGCTGGCGGTGTGGGGTTCTGTCTCTTGGGGCCGTGTCCCCATCCGTGTCCCCGTGGCTGTGTCCCGGGCACGGCGATCCGCCTCCGGTCTTGGCAAATAAATAGTGAAAAGCAGAAGGAATAAATAATATAAATAAGAGCATCAATTAAATAGACTCACCCGGGCTCTGTGGCACCACCGACCCCCTCCTGGGGTGTGCGGGGGTGAGGGCAGAGGGGTCTGGGGTTGGCCAGGGGGGAGAGGGGATGGAAGCAGCCCAACAGGGGCTGAGGGTGCGGGTTCTGCCCCAGGGGCTGTGCCCATGTGGGTGGGGGCAGCAGGGCGGATGGGGTCCGTCAGTCCTGCCTGGCTCTTCGCCCCATGGTCCTGTCCTTGCTACGGACCAGGTGAGTGTCTTTTCTCCCCGGCAGTTCCTGGGAGGAGAAGCAGCAGCTCTAAATAAATAATAGGAATAAATTAAATAAATAGGGGTGAGCATCGCGAGCTGGGGAAGGTCTGGCCCGGGTGCAGGCGGTGCTCCCGGGGCAGTCCCTGCAGAGAGACCTGCCTGGCTGCGGGGACTGCGTCCAGCCCTTCCCGGGGGCCGGGGGCTCCTTTTTATTTAGGGGGTGAGAGATGTGGGAAGCATCCTCCAGCCCCGTAGCGGCAACTGGCACCAGGATGGGGAGGGGTAGAGGTGGTGGGGGGGTGCGGTGGGGGGCGAAGGGGGGAGGACACGGGGACTAGTTCCCTATTGCACAGCTGTGTTCGGAGCCCTTGAAGCAGGCGGACTCGTAGTGCTTGTTGAGGTACGACTTGAGGGCGAAGGTCTTCTCGCACTGCTTGCACTTGTAGTGCTTGAAGGCGGAGTGGGTCTGCATGTGGGCGCGCAGGTTGGAGCGGTCGGCGAAGGCCTTGCCACAGTGAGAGCAACCAAAGGGCTTCTCCCCGGTGTGCGAACGCATGTGGCCCTGCAGCAGCCAGGGCCGGCTGAAGGCTTTGCCGCAGACGTCGCACTTGTGCTTGAGGTTGTGGGTGAGGACGTGCATGGCCAGGGCGGGCATGGAGACGTACGCCTTGCCGCAGGTCGGGCATTTCCTGGCCATCTTGCTGTCCAGGCTGCGGTGGGTCTGCTTGTGCCGGCTGAGGTTGGAGGAGGTGGCGTAGGTCTTGCCGCACTCGGGGCAGGAGTGGCGGTGGCTGCCGCGGCGCTGGCTCTCCCCGCGTCGACGCGACCGCCCGTCGGTGATGAAGAAGGCGTCCATGGAGTAGCTGTCCGTCACCGCTGCCTCCCCGTTGAAGTAGCGGGCGGAGAAGGTGGACTGGGGGCTCTCGGGGTCGCTGTACTCCTCCTGGCCGGGCGCGTAGGCCGGGTCTGGAGGTGCCGGCGGCAGCCCCTGCTTCTTGTCGGGGTTGTAGCCGGCAGGTGCCAGGCAGTGCTGCAGGTACCCTGCGGGGACGACACGAGGGTCATCCTCCTCTGGGCTGCGCTCTGCCCGGCAGTGAGCTGAAAACACCCAGCTGTCACTGGCCCTGCACATCGGAGCTGCCTCACGTGCACAAGGGATGAGCTGCCCTGGGTGCCGGCCCGATGGGAGGCAGAGGTTGATAGAGCTCTGCTCCTATCCCCATCTCCCTATTTCTAGGAATGGGTTGAGAGGGCAGAGATGAGAACAAAAGGGCTCGGAGAGGTCACCCCATCTCTCTCAGGAATGTGGCACATGGGGACGGGTGACTCCAGGGACACTGGGCTCACACTGAGGGTAGAGAACCATGGGCCCCAGGAGCAGAGGGGGCTCAGGGCCATGCTGGCAGTTCCACCCTGTGTGACACTGATGCAGATCTGCTCATGGCTTTGGGTAATTGACTCTTGACCTGTGCCAGAGCAATGCCACGAATGCCTCCATCCCTCTGCTGCCAGCATGCGATGGTCACTGCACTGCGTGCTCCCAGTGCCTCCCAGCTGGGCCAGCAGCTCAGGGCACACACAGTGGGACACGTGGCCACGCAGGCTGCCCTACACTGGTCCTGGCAGTCACCTGCCTTGTGCACAATAGCCCCTGCCAGCTGCTCCAGAGGACGCATCCCTGCTGCTGATGGTGATGGTGGGGGCTGTTGGGGGGCTCAGCACACTGCCAGTCTCACCGGCACTGATGCATGACTGTGGGGCCATATGCACACCCCACCCCACAAAATACCCCTAAATGCAGCCCCCCTCCCACCTTTGGGACCCCCTCATCTGGGCTGCCCGGCGCGTGCTGCAGCTGCGGGGTCCCCACGCTTTGTCCCATTGAGGCTGGGGGGTCCCTGCACTGCTGTGGGGAGGGGTCTGCGAGGCTGGGGCACGGTGCAGCCCCCCCGCTGCCCGCGCTGTGCTGACAGTGCGGTCGCACGGGCTGTGCAGAAAGCGCTCTGCTCAGCAATTTCTCACGCTGCCTCCGAGCATGCAGCAAGGTTATTTCCAGGAGAGCAGCGTCGGCAGCTTCTGCCCAGCTGCAGTGCATCCCTCCCCCACCAGCTGCTGCTCCCCATAGGATGGGGAGGAGAAGGGGACCCCCAGGTTGTGTGGGCATTGCCCCGTGCCCTCTGTGCTGGGCAGCAGAAATGAGGACACGCAGAGCAGCGTTGGCTGCATGGGGCTGGATCGGGCCCATCGCTGCACCCAGCGCAGCCTGCGGCTCCAGGAGCAGCCGAGCCGTGACCTGGGAAAAACGTCCCCATCGCCGTCCCCTTTCATGGCACATCCCCGGCTCTCCCCGTCGGGGGTCTCTGCTGAGCGCAGGTGACCCGCACAGAGCCCGGCCCGGTATCATCCCGAAGCTCGTGGCTCTGGGGGCCCCATCGCCCTCATGCCCACCCTTCGTACCTCTCTTAGTGCCAGGAAGGGGGCTGCCCCCCCCCCCACCCCCCCCCATTGTGCCCGGGGTGGTGACAGCGCGCGCGGAGCTGTCGGAGGGGAGCGGGGCTGCGAACAATGAAAGCCGCAGGCACGGCGAGCAGCCCGGCCCCCCCACCCCTCTCCTCGCTCCCGGCTGCTTCGTGCCCCCCAAAACTTGCGCTGGAAGGAGCCCTCCTCGCTGCCCCCAACCGCGGGGAGAGCGGGGTCCGCCGTGACTCCATCACCTGCACTGCCGCTGTCACCGCGTCCCCAAGGACCAACTTCGGCAGGGGTTGGTGGCGCTGGGGAGGAGGGAGGGGGGACCCACAAAGGCGAACAAGGACGGGACCCGCGGGACGCAGCGTTGAGACCCCCCCGCCGCCCTCTTCCTGCCCTCCCCGATCCCCCCGGCCCAGCTCCCCCGGTACCCCCGTTCCCCCCCGCTGCCCCGTCGGGCGCACACAATAGGGGTGTGGGGGGGCGTTCCCCGGAGCCCCCCGCCCCGCACTCACCATCTCCGGCAGCTGGGCCGGGCAGCGCGTAGGGGGGCTCCAGGGGTGCGTAGGGGGGCGCGGGGGCCCCGGCGAGAGGGAACGCGTCCGCCTTCAGCTTCTTCACCAGGAAGGAGCGGGGCATGGCGGGGCCGGGCCGGAGCCTTCAGCACTGGACAGCTCCGGCACCGGCACCGGCCCCGGTACCGGCACTGGCCCGGCCCGGGGCGGCCCCCGGCCCCGCGCTGCGCTCCGGGCCGGTGGTGCGGGCTGCGAGGAGCGGGGAGCGGAGTGCGAGGGGCGGGCGCCGGGGAGGAGGAGGAGAGGAGGCTGAGGAGGAGGAGGAGGAGAGGAGGAGGGGGAGGAGGAGGAGGAGGGGGAGGAAGGCAGGCGGCGGGGGGGAGGGGGCCGCTCCGCCCGGCCGCGCCCCGAGCCCCCCCTCCCCGAGCCCCCCGGAGCGTCGTGGCAGTGTTGGGTCCTCGCTCCCTGCTCCCCTCTGTCCCAATCACCCCCCCCCCAGCCGCGGACAATGGGGACACGCGGGGACATGGGGCGGAAGGGGGGTGGGGTGGGGGTGTGCTGCCTCCTGCTGCCTTTGTCTCCCTGCCGCCAGCCCCCGGGGCTGTGAATGACGGGGCGGGGGTCCAGGCGCTGTCACTGTTCTCATTCTCTGTCCCGGTTCCATCCCCTATCTCCATCCCTGTTCCTTGTTCCTAACCCCATTCCGTGTCCCACTCTGTTGTCTTTATCTCTGCTTCTTGTCCCTTTCCGATGACCCCTTTATTTTTCCCTTGTTTCTTCCCTTATTCTCCATCCCCATTCCTGCTCCCCGTTCCCAGCCCTTCCCGTCCCGTCTGTCCCTTTCCCCTGTCACCACCCCTCTTCTCTTGTCCCTTTCCCCACCTTCTGTCCTTCTCCCATGTCCCTATCCCTATCCATGTCCCGGGGGAAGTGCCGTGACCTTCACAGCCCACAACAATAGCCGGGCTCGTGGCGGTGCATTGTTCCCTCCCGCAGCCCCCACTCCCCCTCCTCCCTTCCCTGCAGGCACAGCCGCTCACGCCGGTCCCCCCAGACCCCCCCGGAACAGGATGAGGCCCTTCTTGCAGGCAGGCCGTGGTCCCAAGCTGTGGCAGGTGACAGTGAGGACCTGGCTGGAGCACTTCTGCTGCCCATCACTGCTCTCGCTGCATGGCCAGTGCCCTGTAAAATGAGCTGGGAGCCACAGTGGGAGCTCTGGAGCAAGACCTTGTGCCAGCTGGGGGTGACAAAGGGCTTGTGGGGTACAGCGAGCTGGGGGATCCAGCACAAAGGACCTGCTCCCTGTGAGTCCCTGCCCTGCCACCAGCTTGGAACCTCAGCCTGCCCTGCCTTGCTCTGCAACCCCCTTGAAGCCGCTGCTCCCCCAGTTACACCGTGAGCATCCCCCTCCTCTGTGGGCAGCTGGGGAAAGGCCGTGCTGTCCCCGAGCCCTGTGCTGCACCAAGAGCATTGCAGCACTCAGCCCCGCGCAGCCCAGCAGTGGTGGTCAGTGTGGGGTTCTGACGGTGCCCTTTGTCTGGGCACACAGCGTCACACGCAGGGGACAAGAGCAGCACCCCGTGGTGGCACCCCAATCCTCATGCTGCCCGTGGCATGCTAGTGGCCATGTGCTTCTTAAACTGTGCTGGGAGCTGGGGGCATCTCTGCTCTGCATCTGTGTGGGGTCAGAGAGCGTACATTCACTGCTTTGTGTGGCATCCCATAGCCAAGGGAATGTTCCACAGCACCCCACATCCTAGGACATCCCCTAACCTGGGTTATCCCAAGTTCTATAGCACCCCACAGCCCATGTTACACCATAGCCTGGAGCACCCTATGTTCTATAGCATCCCATAACCCAGGACACCCTATAGGCTGGGGTACCCATAGCCCACAGCATCCTGTAGCCTAGGACACCCCACAACCCCAGGCACCTCACGTCCTATAGCATCCCATAGCCCATCTCATGCCATAGCCCTGGGTTCCCATAGCCCACAGCATCCCATAGCCCAGTGCACCTCTCATCCTAGGGGCACCCCACAGCCCGCCCCACTCCTGTTCCCAGGCTGGGGCTCCCACCCCGCTCCCCCCTTAGCACTGGGGCTCACTCCCCATCAGCATCACTCACTGGGGCCGTGGCACCAGCCCCATCTGGCCCTACGGTGCAACCCTGACATCAGTCCAAGTCCAAGGTCACCTCTCCCCGAGGTGCAGCCTTGGGGTCGGCCCCAGCATCTCCTCCATCCCTCGGCCGCCGGCTCCCAGCCCTGTGCTCCTTTATTTATTTATCTGTGTGTGTGTGATCACTTTTCTTGAAGGCACGTTTGCAGAACGGACGATTACTTACGCCCTAGTTGGGCCGAGCTTGCCTGCCTGCCCGCTGCCCTGTGATTTTTTCTCTCTCCAGGCTGTGGTGTAATAAGGGAGGTAATTAAGTGTAAAAGACAGGGGGAGGGAGGGTTGGGAGAGGGGGAATAGGAACTGGCTCCTTTCAGAGGCAGGGGACTGAGATAATGTATGTTAATAACCTGCAATCAGTCCTGAGGAGCTGTGCTAATATTGCTGACTGCAGCGCGGCTGGGCCCCCCCCCAAACCTGCCCCCACCACGGCGGGGAGGGGGAGAGCCAGAAGAAAGGGCCCGGGCGTTCTCCCGGAGCGAGGCTGGGTGATGGCTGCATCCCCATCCCTGCCTTCCCGAGCAGCTGTATGGAAATAATTCCTGCTCGCTCGCAGGGCTCGGAGGCGATTGTTCCCCTGTGCCGTGCTGGGGAGGGAGGGAGGGGTTGGCGGGGCTGTGCAGGGCGAGGGTCTTCGGGGACCTGTGCGTCTGGGATGGGCAGGAAGGTCCTCATGTAGGGCACGGGGGGGGGGCGTGAAGGGCTGCGTCCCTTTTGCTCGCGGTCTCATTGCAAGGAATGTGGGATGCGCCCTGCTCTTGGGATGGGATAAGTCCTCCGCGGTGCCCCCGCATCCACCGCTGCTCCTCTGCCCCCAGCTCTGCCCCTCTCCCCACGCTCCCCCTGCAAACGGGGGGATGCGCGGTGCTCAGCTCAGGCCGCGGGACCCGTGCGGGGCGGTGGGCGATTAGCAATTCCAGCCGCGTCCTTCCCGCAGGCGGCCGGGACGCAGCCGGGGCCGGGGGCTGCTCGGCTCTGCTTCGTTAAGGCACAGCAGAGCGGGTCTGTCGCTGCTGCTCCCGAGGGGAGCAGATTGCCAGACAAAGAGCCGGGGACAAAGGCCCGGCTGCCTCGTGCCCCGGGGAAGAGGCGCAGGCGCGTGCGGCGACCAAGCGCTGCTCCGCCTGGGGGCTGACGCTGCTCCCCGGACCCCCCCGGACCTCCTGTTGGCACAGCCGAGGTGCAGTCGGGTACCAGGTGGCACAGTTCTGCCACCCCGTGCCGTGTGACAGCCTTGTGTTGCTGTTCACGGCACGGCTGTGGGCACGGGGCCGTGCTGCAGCTCTGTGCCCACCCTGGGTACAGCCAGACTGAGCGGGGGCTGCTGTGGGGCACAGGGCAATGGGGAGAGAGCAGAAAGCATTGCCAGAACCCCAGAAGGGGTCCCTGGGAAGGTTACCCCCATCCTACTGGGCCGCATCTCCTTCTGCTGCTGTTTGACCTTTGTCACCACAGTCTGAATATGGCTGCAGCCCCCCCTGTCCCAGGGCAGCCGTTGCTCTCCACTATGGCATGGGTATGAGAATGACAAGGAGAACAGGAATGAGAACACAAACGCTGCTCCCAGGGGTGCTGAGCCCCCGGTGCAGTGGGGCGAGGTGGAAAGCAGCAGGTCTGGGCACAGGCCAAAGGGCTGAGCAAAAAACTCCTTCTATTTGTTTGAACGCAAGAGGAACGCCGTGCTCATACTGGGCACTGCAGGCTGCAGTAGTCGGCGGATTGGAAGAAGCCATAAATGTTGACGAGGGGGAACATGAGCAGGGCACCCAGCAGGGATCCCAGCTGCTCCAGTGCCCCGTACCACACCAGTGCACTGTGGCTGCGGCTCCGCAGGATGACCCCGGCCATCACCTTCACGTAGGAGAGCGTTCCGGTGAAGAGCACCCAGGAGAGGATCTGGTGGCACAGGAGAAAGCGGTCAGTGGGGACCCTGAGACCGCTCCTGAGGTTTGAGGGACCCAAAGACTTACAATGATGGCGTTGCCCCACTGGGAATGCTGCAGGAGAGGGCAGGGGCTCATCACTGCTATGGCCATGTTGTAGGCACCGAAGCCTGTACCCGCCAGGCTGAGGATGCCCATCAGGACCAGGGACCTGCAAGGAACAGTTAGGTCACACCAGTCAGCACTGCCAACCCAGCACAGAGAGAGGCACAGCCCCACAGCAGGCTCAATGCTGGCCCCACTGTCCTTCCTGAGTGCCTCTGACGCCAGGGTATGAGCACCCTGAGGACACCCACCACCCCAAAATGGGGCTGTTTTGGGTCTCCCACACCTACCTGCTGGGCAGGACCATGGCCACGATGCAGGCGAGAGGGTTGGCCATGGAGCTGAGCGTGGCCGAGAGGTGATATGCGGTGTTGCCATATGGCAGGCAAGAGTAGGACTGCACGGATGGCAGGACTCCGTTTGTCAGAGAGCTCACCCAAGTGATAAGCAAGTAGATGAAAGCAAGCTTGGCCACAGGATAGGAGACCTTCTCTGGGTGGGTCTCCATGGGCCGCTTGGTGCTCTTTGGGCATGAGTAGCCTTTGCCTCGTCCCGTGCCAGCATCATTCTCAAGGATCTGGTCAAAGGAGTTCAGTATGATGGTGCTGGGACACAACTGCTGCTGTGAGAGCTCCCATACCTTGGGCTGCCTTGTCAGGAAGAAGAAAGCCACCAAGCAGACTACCATCATCGCAGTCATGAGGAGGAAGAAGATGAGGGTAGAGAAGCGGGCTGGGAGGTAGTGGGTCTCCATCTGGAAGATAGTGCCCTCCATGGTCTCGTTGCCAGACGTGATGTTGACCACCTGGCTGACATTGACACAGCTGGAGATGCCGGAGCCCTGGCCCAGGGCGATGAGAGCAGGGATCAGCCCGCTGAGTCCTTCACCTATGAAGTAGGTGGTGAGGTATTGGGCCTGCAGCTGCATCATGAAGGGCAGGAAGGTGACAGAGGAAGTGCAGTCAACCAGAGCCAAGAAGAAGGTGAGGATCAGGAATGCAGTGCTATGGGAGGTCCCCGCAATGGGGGAGGTGTAGTTCCAAAGGAAGGCCAGCAGCAAGCAGGCCACGATGCCCACAGACACAATCACGTAGATAACGACCACCTCCTTCAGCGAGCCGGGCCAGAAGCGGTGCATGAGGGTGACAAAGAGCGGCCCCACGTTGGCCATCTGGATGATGATGGTGATGAAGGAGGGCAGGTCCCACTGCTCTGGCAGCACCGTCACCAGCAGCGGCAGCTCGACCCACAGCCCATTGATGGCCATCCAGGAGCCCATGCCAAAGGCACAGGCGAGAAGGTGGGTGAGCAGCGCCATGGCTCAGGGCCGGGTGCCACTGTGCTGTGGGGAGAAGCTTCATTCAGTGGTGGAGCTCTGTCCACCAGGCCCCCACAGATGCTGCCTATGTCCCCTCTCCCACAGGCAGCTCCAGCTGCTTCTCCTGCAGCATGGGACTGGCAGAGTGGCGTAGCCTAGCCAGCAGCGAGAGGCCTTGTGCCACCACGGGGATCCCCCAGTGCCCCACAAGGCCCCCAGCTCTGCTTGAGGCACTCATCGTGCTTGGGGCACAGAGACTGGAACAGGGTAGCGAGCTGGAGCTGAGCCAGAACACAGCTTAGCATGGCACTGCCTGGCATGGCCTAACAGCCTGGCATAGTATGGCCTGGCAGGACATGGAAAGGCCTAGCATGGCCTGGCACAGCAAGGCATGGCCTCGTATGGCCTGGCATGGCACAGCATGGCACGGAGTTGTATGGCCTGGCCTGGCACAGCAAGGCATGGCCTCGTATGGTCTGGCATGGCACAGTCTGGCACGACTTGGCACAGCACGGCATGGCCTGGCACAGCATGGCACGGAGTTGTATGGCCTGGCCTGGCCCAGCACGGCATGGCCTGGCACGGCCTGATGCACCGTTGACTCTCACCTGGGGGCTGTGAATCCTATGCAGCCGCTCTCCTGGGACTCGAGGCCTCGCCCTTCCCTCCGCATCCGCAGGCAGCGCCCAGCAGCTCCTCTCCTCCCGCCGGCCCCCCGCTGACTGCACGGGGCTCCGGCAGCGGTGGGGCAGAAAGGCCCCGCGGCCCCACCTGCAAACAGGCCCCAGCTCATACCTGCGGGCTGACTCAGCCCCCACCCGCCCGGAGCACCTGCCGCCCGCCCGGCCCCATCCCAGCACCAGGGGGCCCGCACAGCCCGCGTCCCCGAGCCCCGCGGTGCGGATGGAGGTGGGGGGGGGTTGCGGGCCGGGTGATCCCCAGCGTGATGCCGAGTCCCGGTGGAGGAAACCCGGGTTCGCGGGGCCGGAGCCGTCCGCCGAATGACCTCATCCCGGCAGGGAGGTGTGGGGACTTTTTGTTACGGAGCAGAAGGGAAAAAAGAAGAAACGGGAGACCGGTCGGACCGGTGCCGGGGTGACGTTCGGGGCACCTCCCCGCACGGCAACTCACTGCGCTTTGGGGGACGGGCGGCACGCGGCGCAGCGAGTCCGGGCTGCCGGGCGGTGACGTCAGCCGGCCACGTGACCGCCTCCGGATGCAGATGGGTGGCAGCGTGCGGAGCGCCGGGTGCTGCTCCCGGCGGAATGAGCCTCCCCGCCTCCCCTCCTCCTCCTCCTCCTCCTCCCTCCCCTCCCCCTCCTTCTTCTCCTCCCCCCCCTCCTCGGGCGTGGGGAACCGGGCGGAGTCACGTGACCTCGTGCCGTCCCCCTGTCCCGCTCGGCGGTGGGTCTGACGCTGTGCTGCAGGGCTCCCGGGCTGGAGGTCCCAGCGGGGTCCTGGAGATGGGGGGGGGGGGGAGGGGTACGTGAGCTGCGCCCCCACCCCTTATGTGAGCGGTAGTTTGGATGTTGGAGCGGGATGGGATGAGACAGAGTCATAATGACGAATAAAAAGTAACGTGCTGGGGGCTTTGGGGAGGGTTGGTGAGCGCCTTTTTCTTGAGGGAACCCCCCAAATCCCTGTGCGTGGGGACAGAGGGAGCAGCTGTGATCACACCAATCCCACTGTGATCCCGTTCCATCAGGAACAGCTGGAAGGGCTCAGGAACACCCCCCCCTCTTCCCAACCCCCCTCCACCCAGCACACCCAGCTCCCCATTTTTGGCAGCATCACGGCCACTTGGTCCCATTCACTTCCCCCTCCCCCCCCAGCTCCAGGTGCTGGCTGGGACTTCCACACTCCAAACAGCCCTAGTGCACAAAGTGCTCCCACCCGCTCTATCCCTGCCCCCAAAGCACAGCCCAGCCCCTCCTGTCCCCACATACCACCAGGGTCAGCCTCAGCGTGCTGCTGCCTGGCTGTAATGCCAGGTGCTCTCTGCAGTGCTGTCGCTGAACCTGCACACCCCGGTTTGGCCGGGTGCCGGCATTTATTCCTGGCTGTGACACGGACTTTGCCCTTGTCCTCAAAAGAGCCTGTGTCCCACCTATTCCAAGATGCACCTTGCGGGTGCAAATGTCACTGTGCAGCGCTGTCTGGGATGGATGGCTGCAGGGCTGCAGGCTGAACTGTGTGCCCTGGGAACACAGAATGTGGCCTGCAGGTATGCATTGTGCACAAACACTCCTCCAGCCCTGCTCAGCCGGCACAGGGTGCACGGTGGCTGTGGGACATGACCAGGTGCCCAAACATGCTTGAGCTGGCGGATGTGATGCTTGCACCCTTCAGGAGCTGACAGGAGCTGCAGAGGACAGAGCAAGCTGGGCCCTATGGCAGCTCAGCCATGCAAAGGCTCATCCCAGCACCCAGCTCCCCCCTCGGCGGCTCTTCCCCCAGCACCCACTGGGTGTCGCTGGGAGAGCAGGCTGCACTGCGCTGCCTCGTGCAATGCCCTGCCTGTCCCTCCTGTCCCTTACTGCCCTGCCTGTGCCCCGCACCTCTGTGCCCTGCGGCCACCCCAGGCACCTAGAGCAGTGGTGTCCCTGCTGTCCCCAAATGGGCTGCAGGATGGGTGTTCAGGCTTTGGGACTGTTGGGGTTCTGCATCTGTGCGCCCTGTGTTGCTAGGAGGCACCGGGGGCTGATACAGCTGAGCTCCCTGCTCCCTATGGGGATGGGGCAGCAAGGGGACAGCGGCTGTGCCTTGTTCATCCTGCAGCACAAAGGAGCCCGAATCCAGGACTAATTGGCTGTGGCACGGGGGCCGGGGGGCACAAAGGGTTGATGGGCACGGGACCGAGCGCTGCTGCACGCTTCTCACCCCAACCCAGCTGATACGTGCTGCCTGCTGTGCCGGGGGGGCCGCCCCCCACCCCATGCTGCATCGCACGGCAGCTGAGCCCCGGCCCCTCTGCACCCCGGCAGATGCGAGCAAAGGCCCCAAGGCAGATGGCAACATTTGGTCACCGAGCCGGTCCTCGGCTATGGGACTGTGCTGGGATCAGGCAGGCGAATGGCCCACCAGAAACTCCCCCCCTGTGTCCCCAGATGCAAGGCCATGTCCAGTATGGGTGAGAATGCAGCAGGGCCTCTTGGGTGGGGAGAAGCAGGTGATGAGAGTGGGGCTCCATCTCTGATTCCGCAGGCCTTTCTCACACTGGGAATCCCTGGTAAGGAGTACTACCCACCAATGGGACCCCAGTTTTCCTACTGGAGGGGGCCCTGTCATGCAGGCGGTACCTCCTTACTGGGAAGCCCAGCCAGAAAGCGGGGACCAACAGCGGGTCGCTGCCCATGGCCCTTTCCTCCCCTTCCATTCTCCTCCTCCTCACAGCTCCCCATCTCCATTTGCATCCTATTTCCATGTGAATGGAGCAGGTCAAGTTGAAAGTTGAAAGCTGGCGCGGGGCGCCTGGGGAAGGGGCCTCTGCCAGAGGTGAGAGCCCAACAAAAGGGGCCGCATCCCCAGGGCACTGCGCTCGCATGGCTGCGGCCACAGCCCTGGCCCCAGCACAGCCGCCCTTCCACCATCTGCGGGTCCGAGTGCAGCCTCCCCTGCTCAGACAAAGCCCTCACACCTGGCACGTCTCCATCTGTTGGATCCCCTGCACCCGAGCACAGTGTATGTTTGGCCCTGAGCATGGCTGCTGTCTGCAAGGATGTGCACAGAGGGATGTGCACGGCAGGATGGGCATGGGCAGCATCCAGCTGATGGGCATGAGGTGAGGCTGTGCGCATGAGAGCACTCCTCATTCATCCTTATGGTCTCTAGGGAGCTCCCTGTGCCTCAGAACAGCCATTCAGCATCAGGGAAACTGAGGCAGGGAGCTGGTGGTGGCTCGCCTCAGTCAGGGTATAGGCATTTCCCAGCTCCAAAGCTATTTGAACCATTGTCTGGGTGAGTGGTGGTGATAGAAGCCTGGAATTAGCACCCACCAAAATGAGCACGGCGGCAGGAGGAAGGTCTTGTGGAAGCTGCCAGCACTGGGGAGGGCTAAGGTGAGCCAACACCTCTGGGCTGGACCTTGTGCCATGAAGCTGCAGCCCTGCGGTTTGATGTCAGGCATCCACAACCCTCCCCACCCAACACTTAGAGGGAGGATTTGGCCTCTGAGCTCTTTTTTTCTTTTGCACTTTCCTAGCTGCACTTCACTCCTGGGGGGTCCTGGGAGCTGCACGTGCAGGGAGCCAGCCCTGAGCACCTGTGGGAGGCGAGCACAGAGCCAGCCCCAGCGCCCATCCACCCCGGGGCTGCAGGATGGGCCCTGAACCCAGGGCGTGCTCCTGCATTGGGCTGCCCTCCCCAAAACCATCCCGGGGTGCTCCTGGGGAGGGCGAGGCTACAACGCCCTGCTGAGTGCAAGCAGCCGGCGTGCCCAGACAGCACCAGCTGCCTGCCTGCAGCCTGCACCGATCCCCTACCATAGGGATACACAGCCTGGCCACCCTCAGCGGGCAGATGCCCACGGCTCTGCATCACCAGGCAGTGTTTTTCCAGCTGAAGCCATCGTGTAGGTCCACCTTCTGCTGGAAGCATCACCCAAGTGCAGGGCGGCTCTGAGCTGGGGCTGTTTGTTTTCCCAGCTTCACCCAAGCCCTGCTTGTCTCGCTTCCAAGAACAGTTTGAAAAACACACTGCTATCCCTGAGCTCTGATTGTGTGTGCTGTGTTTGCCCCTGCCCTAGGAGTTGGGCTGTGTGCAGGCAGCAGCCTCACTCGGTGACCTTGCTCTGCTTTGTCACCTCACTCTGAGCCACTCGTTGGGCTGCTCTGTTTTAAGCACAGGAGCGTTTTGAACTTTGGGACTGCAGGATGCCGGGGGGCTGGCGGTGACCTGGGGCTGGTGGGTGTGCAAGGGACCTGTTCCCTTGAGAAGGCTTTGAGAAGGCTCTGCTCCCTGTCCTGGTGAAAACAGGGGATGTCCAGGGGCGTTGTGGCACCTGCAGTGCTTGGTGCTCCAGTTGTGCCACCACAGCAGTGCTTTTCCATCCCCACTGACTGAACTGTGGGTCCCTTCACGCTGCCCAACCGGCGCTGCCGGCTGAGCTTAGACCCACACCAGGACGTCACCGGCCACGGCCACGCTTTGTGATGCAGCCGCAATTAAAATGCAGCCTGGCTTGGAGAAAAGCCCTGTGCCTGTGCACACACGCTGGCAAGGAGAGGTGTTTTCGATCCCATCTGAGTGCTGGGCTGCCTCGGAGGGCGTCTTCAACCAGCAGTGACTCAGACGGAGCCGTGAGCCGCCCTGCAGTGCACAGACCTGCTCCAGCACCCTGAAACCAGCTGCACTGCAGGGAGCAGGGGAGGCAGAGGGCACAGGGCCACTCTGAGACGAGAACAGGAAGCAGAGACACAGCAGCTGAACCAGGCCAGGGAGCACAGAAAGGTGGGTAGGTGGCGGAGGTGGGTGCTGGGTCGCTATGGCTGAGCATGGCAAGCTGGGTGCCAGCCACAATGCCTGGACTGCCATGCTCTATTTGGGTCAGCTGATAATGTCGCTTTGCTTTCTGGGCTGTGGGAGAACAGCTCTGTGCGGATTGGGGCAGCCGTGCCAGGCTGGCAGCTCTCCATCCATAGGAATGTGGAGCAGCAGGTTGTGTCGGGCCAGCTGACCCTGCTGACAGGGACAGAAGCCCACCCTGAGCACTGCTGGCTGCTGGGGGGCTCTGCACCCCCATCCCTGTGCCCAGCAGATGCTCCCTATGGAAGCCTCCCCATCCATGGCACAGGGTGCAGAGTGTCTGCTGGCAGCGTGCTGTGCTCCAGCAGTGCACAACACTGGAAGATGACCCCCACACCACCAGAAAACACCCAGAGCCGGGTGAGTCAGGCCCTCGTGTCCCCTCTCCATCAGGGCTGGGTGACACAGGACCTTGGGGAGCCTGATGGTGATTTCCCACATCGGAGGCTGCAGCACTGCTTGCCCCCGAGCACCTTACCTCCATGCTTCATTGCCCCTGAGCACAGAGCACGGCTGCAGCGGTGGGGCCCTGCCTTCCCCGTCATTGCCTGGCGGGGACATCGGTGCCCTGCACTGCCCTGTTCCCAGCTCACCGCCCGCAGCCGATGCCGTGTTGTGGGCTGTACCCAGGAAGTAGAGCAAGGAGGTGAGCGGCCTCAGGTGGCGGCAGCTCACTGGGAGAAAGGAAGCGGGGCTGTGCCGTGCCCACCGGTGGGCTCCCTTGTGCCCTAAGCTGGGCAACGTGGGGCTGGGGAAGCTGCGCTGGGCAGCTGCGGTGACCCCGGTGCTGGAGCATCGCCTGGTCGGGTGAGTGGCACAGCCCCAGACCGGGGGAGACGGGGACCCTGCGGCCAAAGGAGCTCAGGAGAGGTCGGTGGGTGTCAGCCCCTGGCTGCTGATTGCACTGGGGTGGGAGGCACGGGGCCGCTTTGAGCCCCTCCGTGTGCGGGCTGCTGCTGCTGCGCGACCGTTGGGGCGGGCAGGTGCTTGCTGTGCTTGGCAGAGCCCCAAGGGCGCGGGGTTCCTGGCTGCTGGAGAACGCGGGCTGAGGAAGCACGGCTGGGAACCCCCGGGTGTTTTCCGGTGGCCCACAGTGGGAGAGGGGTGTGCAGGAGCAAGAATACCTCTGCCGTGGGACCTGCACACGTTGCCCTACCCCAAATGGCAGGGGGCCGCTTGCATGTTGGCATTCTCCCTTTTTCTCTGTGAAGGAGGCGGGTGGGGGTGCACCGCAGGGGGGAAGCTGCTCCTGGGGCTGAGCATGGGGGGGGCTGCAGGAAGCAGGGCCCGACGTTGCAGCGCAGAGGGCTGGTGGGCGATTGGGGCAGGCAGAGCACCCCATGCACCCCGGGCAGCGGGCAACAGCCCTTCCTAGGGCTCCCCTCACCCCAGTGTCGGGGTGCCCTCCCCGCGGCCCCATTGGCCGTGGTGCCGTTTGAAGCAGGCTTGCACCGCGGATTGGCCGCGCTTCGTTTCGGGGACGCAGCCGGAGGCGTGGTCCCTGCCTTGAAATAGGAAGCCCGGAGCAGCCGGCGCAGACAGCGCGGCACCGCACGCCCCGCGCAGCGCTCGGCCCTTTGTCCGCCTGCCTGCGGGGACGGGGTGCGGGCAGGGGGTTGTCACCGCCGCCCCCCGCAACCGCCCCTCATTGCGGTTCCCTCCCCCCGCAGCCTGCGGCGCGTGGCCCCGCTGCCGCCCGCACGATGTCGGTCGAGGCGCTGCACGCCGGCGATGCCATGAAAGGGATGGCGGCGAGAACCCCCTTCACCTCGGCCATGCCCATCCGCATCCTCAACAAGGGACCCGAGTATTTCCGACGGCGAGCTGAACCGGCCGCCCGAAAACCCAGCGCCGTGGAGAGGTTGGAGGCCGATAAAGCCAAGTACGTCAAGAGCCAGCAGGTCGCCAGCACTCGGCAGGAGCCGGTGAAGCCTCCGCTGCTCAAGCAGCCGCTCTTCGTGCCGGGTGTGCGCCGCGCCATGCTCACCCCCAGCCGCAAGACGACGCCGGGACCGCGCTCAGCAGGCAGGGCCAAGACCTCGCTCAACCTGGAGATCCTCAACCACCTCATCAACGGCTGCGACGGCCCCAAAGCCGAGAGCCCGCGGGGCGGGGAGCGGCACGGCGCGGCGGAGGCGATGAACGCCAGTAGGGTCGGCAAGGCACCTGGGAGCCCCGCTGCGCCCAGACCCCCTGGGACCGTGGCGGTGCGCAGGGTGGACGTGCGGCCCTGCGGGGCCCTGCCTCCCGCCGTGCCGGGAATACGGGTGCCGTCGTCGCCCTCCCCGTGCAGAGCGCCCGCAACGCCGGTTCTGAGCTCACCCAGCCGCCCCGAAAGCGCCCGCCGGCAAACCCTGCTGCACCGCTCCAAGTCGGACCTGAGCGACCGCTTCTCGCGGGCCACCGCCGACCTGGAGCGCTTCTTCAACTACTGCGGCCTCGACCCCGAGGAGGTGCGGGACATGGGGGCCGAGCATTTTGCCCGTGCCAGCTCCGACATCGTGTCCGTCAAGTTTCACAGCGTCAGCACGGCCAGCTCAGAGGGCGGACGCTCCCCCCGCAGCGCGGCCACGCCAGAGGGCCGCCCGGCTGAGCGCATGCCCTACGGCATCTCGGTGGTGGAGCGCAACGCCCGCGTCATCAAGTGGCTGTATGGGCTGCGCCAGGCCCGCGAGCCCCAGCAGGTCTCCAACGTGTAGCCAGGCTGCTCGGCTGCATGCAGTGCTGATGTTGGGACGGGAGGAAGCATCATCCCGTGCTCCCCAGGAGGGCAGCGGGGCCATCCCGGCTCCCTGAACTGAGCCCGCTGTGCCTCTCTCCCCATCCCTCTGTGCAGCTGCAGAGCATGGATGCTGTGCGTCCTCCTGAGGAGCGCCTTGCTTCCTGATGGACTCAGCTCTGCAGGACCCCCATCAGCACCTCAGTACCCCTGAGCCTGTAGAGTGCAGGGGACACGGTTGCACCTGACTGTGTGCTGCTGGCTGGGCTGTGGGTGCATGGTACCTCCTTTGGGGTCCCAGCTTGAGGCTCTGCATTAGCACTGGGGCCTCCTCTTAGTGGCCACAGGTTGAGGTGCTGTGCCCCTGCAGCTTCAGCAGAAGGGGACAGAATCCTGGTGGTCCCCATCAGAGTGCTGAGCATCCTGGAAGGTTTGGGTGCTCTGCGGGGAGGAAAACCCGAGATCTCCTTGGAGAAGCTCAAGTCTGTGTATGTGTGTGTGCGTGTGTTTGTATCCTCTTTTTTGTATGCCAGTGCGAAAACCCCGGGCACAACGTGCCCTCTTATTTATGAAGAAAGTTCTATTGGTATCTTCCTACTGTTTTTCCTGATGTGTCAACTGTAAAAAAGTGACAGTAATGCAGTCAGTTTTATTAAATTTCAGTGCTTTGGATGCCGTGCGTGTTGCCCTCTTCAGATGTGGTGGGGAATGAACTGGGGCAGGCCCCCAAGAGCCTCTTCCCTGCCAAACTCAACAACACGATGGGCACTGCGTCCCAGTGGGTGTTTGCAGAGCATGAGTGTTGTGCCATGCTGTGCCATGCTGTGCCAGCACAGGGCCTGGCAGATGCAGCAGGAGGAAGGTTTCTTCCTGGCAGGTCCTGGCAGAGCCCAGCAGCGGGATTCCCCTCTGCACCTCCCCAGCACTGTGCCAAGCACGCTGCCGGGCTCTGCTCTGCGCTTGCTCCAGCAAAGCACCCCACAACTTGGCTGCATCCCCAGGGCTGCAAGATGGGGAGGTGATAGGAGAGACCTCCCAGGCGCTGGGGAGGTGTGAGGATGAAAGATGATGCAGGGAGTGCTTTGAAGATGAAAGCGCCGTGTGCTGCGCTATCCCCAGGTGGGTGAGGGCTCCTGCAGCCCCTCTGCTCCTTGCAAGGGGAAAAGCAAAGCATCCCATGATGCTGCTGCAAACTGTGCCCATCTGGGTTGCTGGGGAAGGTGGCACCCAGGCCACCAATACCCGCACCCAGCGCTCCCCCCGTGGGGCACAGACCTGCTGCTGCTCACACCCCAGCCCTGTTGTGCGGGACCCATTGGGCTCCCAGAAAGGAGCCAGACAGGTCTGGGAGCCCCCACCCAAGGTTGGTGCAGGATGTGGTGGGGAGGATGCAGGACAGCACCTGATAATGAGTCAGGGAGGAAGCACACGCCCAAGAGATCCTGCAGTGCCAGCACACAGGAAGCTGGTGACTCCCCAGAGAGCCAGACATGGGGCTCAGCCCCCAGCACTTGGTTCTGGGGTCCTGCATAGGGCTGCACGGCTGGGATGTGTGGTGGCTGCACACCACATGCACAGCCAGCCAAGTCCCGTGTGCTCACATGGTGCACATTTGCACCCCCAGCCCAGACATTTGAGGCACCTTGCTCCCCCCAGGGGATGCCCCAATGTCTCTGTATCCCTGCTGGGGACAGGAGGGCAGCCCTGTCCCTGCACTCCCGATCACTTTCCTTGGCAGCTGCCTCCCTGCCAGCTCCGGTTTCAGCATGGAGCCACAGCTGAGCCCGCAGTTATTTATAGAGAGGAGGAATGACCAGGGGAAGGTTTCCACTGCCTTTGTCCTGCTTACTCCCATAACTCTTGTTCCACGTTTCTACGTGGCTCATTGCAGTGATGACCCTTCAAAGGTCATTTTCTTCCCCAGTCACTCATGAAAAGGGCCTGGGGATCACATCCCAGCCCTCCTCAAATGCTGCATGGGGAAAGCAAGGAGACGGGATTTGGGGTGCAGAGAGGGAGCAGGGCTGGGGGGCATGCAGAGGTTCACAGCAGCACCAGGATGGCCGTATCCACAGTGCCTTGCAGGTGATCCCACCTTTAATGCATTTCCCATTTTTCAATTATCAAACACGATCTGATGAGCACCTTGGAGGAAGTGCCAGCTGCATCGCATGTTTTAATCAGTGTTAATTAGCAAATGCCTTATGAATGGGGGAGGGGAAGAAGCAGGTCTGTGGAGTGTCTGAGGGGTTGGTGCTGCAGGGGCAGTTGGGGGGGATGTGTGGCTCATGGCCTGTGGCAGAGCTGCTACCACTGCTGGTCCCCAGAGTCTGCTGGGGATCCACCAGGGCACAATGCTCCTGTCCCCCTTGGATGGGGATGCTGTGCAACGTCACCAGGCTGTGGAGGACCTCTAGTGGCAATAGAGTCGAGGGGGACAGGGGTGGCCCATGATAAGATGGGAAGTGCTGTGGAGCCGGGTGTCACCGAGCCCTCATCTATGCTCTGAGCTCAGTCAGCGCTCAGCGGGTCAGGATGGGGCTGCACCCCCCTGAATGATGCAGACGTAGCAGGGAGACTGCTGGAAGGTCCTTTATGTGGAGATTGTACACACTGCATCCGTGGGGCTGAGGCAGTGCTGCTGCTGCCCCCAGTAGCGAGCCCACAGCCACAGCTCCTATCTCCACCACTGCCAGAGCACTTGGCAAAGGTGGGAGCTGTGCATGGGGGTCTCAGGGCAAGGCTGAGTGCTGCCTGGTGCAGCTCTTGGCCAATAAATATCTCTCAATACAAAAATAAAAGGGTTCCCATGCCAAGATCCAAGACATGGGTGGGCATGGGGGCTTTTCTCAGCAGAAGGAAACACTACTGAGCTTTGCCCCACATTCTCCAGGCTGTCACCAAATGTGCCTGGGTCCAAGTCTGGATTCTCTATGCCAATAAAACAAATGGCCTGTCAGCCCTACCAGCACCTTCGTCCCCAGCTCCAAGCTCCCTCATCATCCTCAGCTCCCTATGTCCCACCTCAAACCACAGCCCCGTCACCATGTGCTACCCCCATCACCACCCCTGTGTGCTGGCACCCAACCCCATGCCTCTGGTGGCACCTTTGTCCCTTTGTACTGTCCCTGTCCCACCGGGATGTGCACAGCCAGTGATCCCCTTGCATGGGTAGAGTGCATGCAGGAGGGGACAGCTGTGTCCCCCTTAATGACCGTGCAGGGAGGAGGGATGCCGTGCGCTCACGCACCGGTTCTGCTCATCCTGCAGGAAAAGCAAAGCAATGGGGAGTTTAGGGCAGTGCCCTAAAATATATAGAAAAGGCAAAATATGGTCTGCCTGACCCTGTATGACTCATGCAGGAGGTCTGGTGGTCCCAGATGCACACTCTGGCACAGCACGGAGCCCGGAGCCCCACAGACATGGGGGAAACAGGGAGAAACCAGGAGGGAATGGGATCCACGCGCTGCAGCTTGCAGGGGTGAGGCTGGCTCAGAGTCAGCTCCGAGATCTGAGAGAAAACAGGAGTGAGAAAAAAGTAATGGGGGGAAGCTCTCCAGGGGCTCCGTCCTGCTGCTGCGCCGCTCTGGCCGGCTAAAAGCCCGCGGGCCGTATCAGCATGCGGGTGCCCTTCAGCGAGTAGCTGGGGCCCTGGAAGTAGTGCCAGCGGATGCCGTTCAGCTTGCGGATGTTGTGCCGTGCCGGGTAGTAGATGCCATTCAGGTTGGAGAGCCCGCAGGCGTCGAACCACCACCCTATGGGAGGGAGCAGGAGGAGTGGCACCGGGGTGGGCACGGAGCGAGGACCCCAACCCAAACCTCGCTGCTCACCTCCTGACAGCATCTGGGCACACTTGCAGAGGCAGTTGTCGTTGTCAGCATCGCGGGTGCTGAAGTTGGTGCCCTGCATGGCCAAGCCGCTCTGCTGCCCTGCTGTGCCGCTGTAGTCCTGCAGGGAGAGCCTGCGGCCACACGTGCCATCACTTCCCTTCTCACCGAGTGGGACTGCAGAGTCCGATGCCCCCATCCTCCCGCCCACAGCCCGGCTGACATCCCTGTGAGTGTGCACTGTCCCCACTGCATCTCCATGAGGGTATTCTTGGGGACAAACCCGCTTGCACAGGCACTGCGTGGCAGCCCTGCGCCTCGCCGGGATGGGAAATTCTTCAGCCTTATAGGAATTTTATGCATCTAATTGGGGAAGAGCCCGGGGAGAGGGGGAGCAGGCAGTGTAGCAACAGCCCCATGGACGAAATCTGCCAACATCCCAGTGAAAGCCCTATGGGAGCTCTGCAGCTCCGCAGGCAGGCAGCGGTGCCAACCAACCTGGGGGACTGGGGACAGCAGTGCCTGAGGACAGCTCAACTCTGCTCACCCACCTGTAGAGCAGCCGCTCGCTGTCCAGCTGAAACCTGCCATAGTGGGCATAGACCTGGCTGCCCTCCCAATCCCGCAGTTCCACACGCAGCACGTAGGGCTCCCGGTTCGTCAGGAGGTGCACGGCTTCATTGCCCAGCCAGTGCTCGCCCGCCGCATCCCCAAAGCCCTGGGGGAGCCGAGGGAGGGTGGGTGTGGGTGATGGGTGCAGGAACGCCCCATCCCCAACCCCATGCAGACCTGCTTGTACTCCCTCCAGCCCCGCTGGAAGCTGACGCTGCCGTTGGTGCGGAGCTGGATGACCGTCCAGCCACCGCCGTCTGTCTCCATGTCACAGAACACCTGCAGTAGGGAACCAAGCAGCTCTGAGTGAGGTGACGCATCCCACTGCCAGTGGGGTTGGTTTGCGGATGGTTGGGCCCCACGGTGCCACCGTGGCAGCCCACTGTGGGCTGCTCTCACCTTCCTGGGCTGGCTCATGTTGGTGATGTGCAGGGTGTACACACCGCTGGCACGGCTGCCGGCCCGGAGCACCTCGGTGCAGTCCTGGAAACGCTGCTCCTCACCAGGCAGCAGGGCTGGGCAGAGGGGAGAGCAGCTGGCGGATGCTCCAGTGACCCTGCAGGTCCTGCAGCCCTGCTCTTCCCGTCTCCCCAGGGCTGGGGATTTGCTGCGGGAGAAACCTCTCAGGGCACAGGGCGGAGTCGCTCTTGGGATGCAATGTTTTTAGGTTCTCCCCACTCACCTCTACCCTCTGCCACGAGGCGCACCAGGCTCTGCACCGACTCCAGGAGCTGCAGCTGCTGTCGCTGCAGCAGGCTGGCGTTGGCACTGGCTGCCAGCAGAGACTTCTCCAGCTCCTCGATGGTGCCGCTCTGCCTGCTCAGCAGGTGCTGCAGCCTCTCCTTCTCTGAGCGGATCCCTGCCAGCTCCGCCTGGTGCTTTGCCTCCATATCCAGCACCCGCACCTCCAGGATGCTGCAAGGGAATTTGTGCTGGAGATGGGCAGCCTCAGCCTGGCTGCGGTTCCCCCGCACTGCCGTGAGCTGCCCCTGCTCCCTACAAGTGGCAGCTGTGGGATGTGAGTGACCTGTGGGCATGCTTCCCACCCAAAGGGCTCTAAGGTCACCCACGGGGACCCCCGATGAGCCCTGGAGGGGCTCCAGCTCTCCTGCAGAGCAGCCCCAGCCCCTACTTGTTCCTGCTCTGCAGCTGGTGGATCTCGTTTGTCTGCACCAGCAGCTGCTTCTCCAGCTTGGTGGTGGACAGGGAGTTCTCCAGCAGCTGCATCTCGATGCGTGACGTCTGGTTCAGCACCTGCACGGGGACATTGGGAGGGTGGGCACACACAGCAGAACGCCTCCTTGTCCCCAGCGTCCTCAGGAACATGACTGCATGAAACCAGCATCCCTTCAGGGAACAACAGCAGAGGAACTTCCCCACACTGCAGTTCCGGTGGCAGTGGGGACATGGGGACACGCGTGCCATCGCTGCCCACCTGTGCCTCCACGTCGGTGAGCTTGCGGCTCTGCTCAGCGCTGCGGTTCAGCAGGGAGCTGCCGATCTCCAGCATGGTGGCCGTGTGGTTCCGCACCGCCGTCTGCCGCAGCCGCGCCATCTCCGGCTTCATGCTGTTCTGGATGGAGCTCTCCAACTGCAGACGGCAGCGAGGGAGGGATGGGATGGCTCAGCCGAGGAGCTCACCCCGCGCTCAGCCTCAGTGCTGCCTCCTGGGCACTCTGATGTGGGAGCGTTGCAGTGCAGCACGAAACATCCCGGGTGCTTTGGAGCTTATTGGGAGGATGGGACGTGTTGCCTGTGGCTGCAGTGCTGTGGGGGAGCCCAGGGCACCGCTGCCGACATTCCTCATCCAACACCCTCACACAGCTCTGCTCCCACGTGTCTGGGCTGGGAGAACGGCTCCTGCTGTAGCTGGCACTGCAGCTCACGCTGCTCAAAAGCAGTAAGATGACACAATGGGAACAGCCCAGGACAGCATCCCGGGTGTATGGAGGGGGCACTGCTGTGGGTGGCACTGGAGTGGTTGCAAAGTTGGCGTGTGGCACAGTGGCAAAGCAGAGCTGAATGGGGTAGGTGGGATTTATAGCCATGGGGATGCCCACAGTCCCCAAATGGGGCTTTTCTCTCTCTGGGACCTGGCACAGGTCTGTGTGTTCACAGATCTATTGTTAAACTGGGACTACCGACCAAAAAGGGAGGCACTGGCATAGGCACCAGCATCAGCACCAGCACGGCTCAGCCGCTGGCTGAGTTCCTATGGCTGCCAGCATCCTCCCCCCCACTGCCCCATCCTGGTGAAGGCGGCTTTCCCAGTGCTGGCTGCTGCCCTGCTGCAGGGAAGTGCTGAGGGCTGAGAAGCAGCTGGCTATGTGCGCGGCTCTGAAGCGTCTTCCGCTTTCCCAGCCCGCAGGGGACAAGCACTTCCCAGTAGGTTTCTATTTCTGGCAGCTGCCATGAGGTTCCCATTCATCCCCTCTCTGGGGTGACAGCCTCGGAGAGGTCTGTGGCCCTGGGGCCACTGTGCAGGGACTGCGGGGAGCGGAAGGGATGTGCTGCTGCCCACGCTGGGAACACTGCCCTGTGGATCCCACTGCCCCGTGGATCCCACTGCCCCATGGATCCCACTGCCCCGTGGATCCCACTGCCCCGTGGATCCCACTGCCCCGTGGATCCACTCTCCAAGTGGATCTTGTGCTCTCTGAGCTGCTGCAAACCAAACCCTAGTGCCATGTCTGGAAAGCACTTTCCCAGCTGAGCGATTGCTGGAGAGTTTCCCTTTAACCACGTCGTTAATCTTGCTGCTTCTCAGGGCTCCAGAGGCCATTTCTCCCTCCTGATTCTGCCTCTTTTTTTCTTCAAAATAAACACATCTCTGAGTTAAGGGCAGCACATACCCATGGAAAAGGTCAGGCTGGCACAGGCAAGGCTGAGCGCGGCCCCGGCTGCTCTCTGTGAGTGGTGCTGGGGCCTCTTTTGTAGGTCCCTGCCCTACCCAGGGGAAGCATCAAAGCCTCCAGGCCCCAGCCACGGCTCTGATGAAGGCATCGACCTGGGAAGCAGCTGGGACTGGAGGGAGCTGCAGAATCCCTAGACAGTGTGGACTCATGTGGGGACTGCATGGCTGCAGAGAGGAATGAGGGGACCCTCCCCAGGAGGGTCACCCCCAAAGTCTTCCCAGAACCTGCAGCCACGGGGCCACTCTTGCAGAGAAAGAATTGCGGGAGCAGGGCAGGGATGGGGCCACAGAGCCAGGAAGGCAGCAGGTTCCCCACTGCTGGTCCCATCCCTCTTGCAGTGTGACATTGGGCAGACGCTGCTCCAGCAGTGCTCTGACCACAACCGAGCCCAGCTCCGGCCCCGCGTTGTGTCCCAGGCCAACAGTGAGAGCTGCCAACATTTGCAGCCTCCAAAAGAATTTCTGCTCAACAGCAAAACCCCACGGCAAGAGGCCCCCAGCCAGCAGCACAGAACGGCCACCCCAATGCCCCCACGCTGGGAACCCATTGCAAACAGTTGGAAGGTTCCATCGCACCGGGCACTGGGGTCACAATCCTTCCTGTGTGCAGGTTTTGTGCCCCACACTTTGTCACTCCCCAAAGGGAGGGCCAGAGTGGTGACACTGAGAGGTGCTCGGTGCCCGTATCCTCTGCAGCACCACCACGCAGCCTCCCTTGTGCAAAGCCACGTGAGTGTCCTCATGTCCTCATTGTGTCACTGCTTGTCCCTTCTGGTGACAGCATGCCTGGCGGTGTGGGGAGAGTGACCTGGCCTCCAGAGGTCTGTGAGCTGAAGGTCAGGGGTCCCAAAGGGACTGTGCCATATTCCTGGCCCTGGGCGCAGCCCAAATTCTCTGCTCCATGGGCAGACAGGGATTTGGGGTTGTTTACAACCAGTCCTCAAGTCCGGTGCCTCCTTTGAGCCCAGTTTGTTTGTTCAGGCCTGGATCCCAACCAAAACAAGCCTCCTTGCGCAGTTTCAGTTAAATTAGGAAAGCAAAGAAACTGGACACACACAAAAAAAATAAAGACCTAACTGCAAGCTGCCTGCAGCAGAGGGGCCATGCTGTGGGGTGGGACGAGCACCAGTTGTGCCCCTGCTCCTGGGGTGCAGCACCACTGCGTGCAGCTGCCCAATGGGCACACACAGCGCAGGCAGGCTTTGCTCAGCGTATCCCTGGGGCTCAGCATCCTCCCAGGACTCAGCACGCTCCCAGCTTTTGAGGAATTTGTGGTCTGAGTCAGCTGAGGAGAGGACAAGGGGCAACCCTGCGCGTCCCTCGTGTGCCCACTGCTGTCCCTACGCAGTGCTCGCAGTGTCACTCAGTTCGACTGGGTGACAGCCGTGGGGACTGAGGTCCCACTGTGGGGACGTGGCTCTTCCCTGATGCTCACACAGATGTGAGGTCAGGAGGTGTCGGGTGAGACCTCGGAAAGGAAAAGCCTCTTCCTGCCTCACCCTGAGAGGCCGGGAATGGGGGAGTGCAGCAAGGGGTCCCTGGGGTGGGCTGGGAGGGTCCATGGCACAGGGTGCCCTCCTTCCTGCTTTGCCCCTGCTGTGGGCCTGGGGCTCCCAGTGCCCCCGTGGGGCCGCAAGGTCACGAGCTGTGTTTCCCATGCAGAGTCTCGCCCAGTGCCAGGAACATTCGTGAAGCCCACAAGTGGGAACACAACGAACCCTGCCCTTCGGTCCCTCACCCCGCCGCCTGCCAAAAGCCTTCCCAGCAGCTTCTCGGCAGCGCCACATCCTGACCGTGAGCAGGGAGTGCTGAGCACTGTAAGGTGCCCAGGAGCACTGGCACGACACGAGCACAGGGACAAGGAGGGGACCGCAGTGTGGACGCACAGGGACACAGCACGCTGAGCAGCAGCACGCACAGAACCCACCCACCCCCTCTGGGCAGACAGCGCTGGGTGAAGGCAGCACCGGCTCAGGCTCTGGAGATGAGATTTGGGCAGAGCGGTGCACCAAACCCCTGCTCAGAGCTCTGACAGGGGACACCCCCTCCCCACGGCCTACCTTCAGCAACCACTGCGTGCTGTTCTCCAGGATCCTCTCCAGGTGCTGCAGGCGCTGGGTAGCCCCGCGGGCAGCTTGTCCATTGCCGGACGGCGAATCCCGCTGCAGCGCGTTGACGGGACCGGGGACGGCGAGCGGGCACGGCGACGGCTCGGCCTCGGGCAGCACGAAGGTGTAGCTGCAATGCCCGTGTTGCACGCGGTGCCAACGCCGGCGGTTGCCCACGTCCAGCGCCCTACGCTGGGATGCGGCTGTGCACAGCGCTGCCAACGCCACGAAGCTGAGCGCGCGCATGGCGCGGGCACGGGGCGCACGCAGCCGCCCCCCGGAGCCCCGGCACAACGCAGCTACCCCAGGGCGCAGCGCTGCGGGGCCGGCATCGCTTCCCGCTGCTCTCTGAGCCGCCTCGGGCCGCCCCGCAGCCTTTTATCGCCAGGCTGAGTCCCGCGGCAGCCCTTGAGAGGGAAGAAAAAAAAAAAAAATCTGTTTAAAAACAATACTTTTATCTTTTTTTTTTTTTTCTTTCTTTTTTTTTCTTTTTTTTTCCCTCTCCTCTGAACCCACCGCGGGGAGATCAAGTTTCACACGTCATCTTCGCCTATCTCACACACACACAGCCCGGATGCCCTCCATCCCTGCGCACCCCCAGCCCCTCTGTACCTCCGAGCCCCCCGCCCTGCTCCCAGCAGCCCCAGCTCCCCCCTCCGGGGCCGCCTCCCCCCGCCCGCAGCTATTAATAACGACGGGGGAAGCGGAGCGCTGCGTTTGGCTGCTCGGCTGTGGGATGGGCCCGTGGGGACCGCGGGGATGCAGCGGAGCCGGGACCTGGATGAGCCCCACATAGGATTTGGGGAAGGGCTGCTGTGGGGTCGCTGGGGACGATTGGGGTTCAACTCAGTGTTTTCCCGAGCTCAGCCCCACGTTAAGGAGCTGTTGTGGTGGCCGAGCTGCGTGGAGTGGTGACACTCTGAGTGTCCCATGGGCCGCGTGGGGTCCTGGTGGCTGGCACAGAGCCCTCGCAGCCAGGGCTGCTTGCAGGGCTGCTTGCAGGATGTCCTGGGATGCCTGCAGGATGTCCATGACAGGGCTGGATGTGAGGACAGAGGGTAGCATGGGGACAGGGCTGGCCATGGGGACGAGGGTGGCCATAGGGCAGGGTGGCCGTAGGGTCGGAAATGGCCATGGGGACAGAGCAGCTGTGGGGACGGGGCAGGCCATGGGCACAGAGTGGTCATGGGAGAGTGGTGTTCCCCGGGCACAAGGATGTCCAAGAATCTCCTTGGGTTTTCTGCCAGGTTTCTTGGATCCTAACCCTAACACAGATCCTGTGTGCACCCCACTGACTGCTGTCCCTACGTCCCTGCTATAGCACCTGGGGAAGGGACAGGATCCCATTGATGCAGCTTGCTGCTCATTGCTCACTGCTCACTCCTGCTGCTTCAAAATTAAATGGCGAAAACCACTGCTGTGTGCTGCGGGGACAGAAGCTGAGAGTGACCCCAGCATCCCCCCTACCCACGATTTCTACAGCAGTGCCTCACAGAAACTGTTTCCACAGTGCAGGAAAACAGAAAGGCGATGGATGCCAGAGGCTTTAATAGTTTATTTGTCCATAAGCAAACAGAGCAGTGATGCTTCCGGCTGGCTCGATGCTGACACCCAGTGCTCTCCTCCTAGAAGGGCCCCACAACCCCCATTTGTGCCAGGAGGAGGAATGGGGTGGCCAAACTCTTCAAAGAGTCACAGAAATTCCCATGGTGAGAGCAGCAGTTGGAGCAAAGCGCATTGCAAAGGTGCTGCAGCGCTTCTCCGTGTGCTTCCCATGTCCCTTGGATGGGGACAGGGATGGTGTCGCCCTGCCCGTGTCTGGAGGGGGCTGTGGGGCTGCTCTCCCAGCACAGGGGGCTGCTGTGATGTGGAGTGCATGGGTAAAGCCCCCCTTCCCCCCCCATTGTTGTGAACCCATACATGTGCCATAGGTGCTGAGCCCTGAGGACCCCAATGTACACAGGATCCAGTGGGGATGGGACATCTCTGGGATGGGTATCCATGGCCTGCAGCACGGTCAGACCCACACCAGCCCCATCCCACCCAGATGCAGAGAGTGGCAGAGGGAAGAAGAGCAAAATAAGGGAGCCACCCCCTGCCCGAGCCCCGGGGCATTGCTTTGGACATTGCAAATTAGATTTTCTGAAAAGGAAATGTTTTACAGGCCATAAATTGTCTCAAAAGAAAGGGGGAGGTTGGGGTAAGGGGGTGGTGGGGGAGAAAATTGTGCAATTTTTCTGCAGCTGGAAAGCAGGGGCAGCACGGGGGGGCTGCTGCGCTAGGTGCCCGCGTCCTGCTCTGTCCTCTGCTTCTTCTGACGCTTTTTGCCTTTGTTTCTGAGTTTGGTTTTCTCTGGAAGAGAAAAAAAAAAGGAGAAATAGAGGGGTTTCTCACTGGGGATGGGCAGCAGGGGCCCTCCTGTAGGTGGGTGACTGCTGCCATCTGGATCCTTCCTGAGGCCCATCAGTGGGATGGGGGGATGCAGGGCTGTCCCTGGAGCAGCGCTGGGTGTGTGGGCACAGGGACCAACTGCTGGACCCCAAATCCTCAGTGTCCCCAAAACCTCTAGCTTTGCACGATGGGGTCAAAGCAGTGAACCTTGCCTCTGTACAAGGAGTGAGGAGGTGAGAGCAGGTTGGTGGGACATGGATGGGACACAGGTGGGACACGGGTACATCCATGCCTCCCCAAATGCCTCTCCAGCTCCTGAGTCTGCAGGTCGGTGGGGACAATGCTGAGACCCCAAAGCAAAGCAGGACGTGGAACGAGACCTGCAGGATCCAATGGAGCAGAAAACATTTGGGAGCTGCCCAAAATCCAGGTGGATTCACCGGGCCGTGCGGGCACCCAGAGCGCGAGCGGCACAGCGGTGCATTCCAGCACTGGTGACGCTGCTTCTTTCTGAGGGCTCCATCCCTTTTCCTACTCAGCTCTGTTTTTCTGCTCTGATCTCCCAGACAATTGCCACCCACAAAGGAAAGGGCACGGCACGGATGCCAAGCGTCTGGAACGGAGCGCGGCGGGGACACAAGGCAGATTTACAGTGGCGTGGATGGTTTTGTGCCCGGGCCAAATGCCGACGCTGCTCGCTTCCAGAGGCCGGCTCAGAAGTGGTAGCACAAATCTCTCATCGCACAGCGCGGTGCTGGGATGAGGCAGTGCCTTCCTCCAGCTCTCGGCGCGTCCAGCAAACCCTCTGTCCCATAACATCTGGATCCCATAAGGCAGCAGTCGGCTGGCTGGGACAGGAGCCTGGGAGCGAGGGTGGGTGCGTAGGGACGGGGAGCAGAGGGGCTTCTCCTGCTGCTGGGGCTGCACGCAGCTGCACCGGGGGGCTTCCTTCTGTTTCAGGGAGAGACCCACAGCTGATCCCCATCAGCACCCGGCTGTGCCCCAGAGCCCATCCCTGCAGCCTCGGAGCTTGCAGCTCAGGTCACCCCATGAGATGCGGTGTATCCAAATCTATGGCCCCACAAGGGGATGGCGGTGAGGGCACTGAGCTGAGCACACACACCTCCAGCACTTGCATGGCACCGTGCTCCAGAGCAGAATATTCCACTGCCACCAGCCTCGAGGGGCCACAGGAAGTGCAGCCACATTTTCCTGCACCATCACCACTTGGCACCCCAAAGCTGCCTTGCAGGGCAGGATATCAACTCCACGCTGTCAGCACGAAGCGTTATTTATGACTGATGGTGCTCTGATGAAGATGCACTCTGCAGCCCCAGCACACCTGGCTGCAGCTATTCCCATCTTCCTCCAGCCCTTCCCTCCTGCTGCCACCGCCTCGCAACGATGCACAGCAAACCTGCAGCTCCAATATCTGCAACGCCAGGGCCGGTGGCTCAGATCTCCTTCCAAGGCTCACAGATTGGTATCTCATGCAATCTGCCTTTCTGCCAGTTATTAAGCAGAGATTTATTAGAGCAGCTTTCAGTCCAGCTGGTTGCATCCAAAAGTGACATCAGCCACCTCCCGGTTCCCATTGCCATCCCAGTTGCCACTGGGCTGGGTGCTGGGAGAGGTGGTGAGGAGCCCCGGGATGGGGGCTGGATAAAATCAGGGAGACCACCGGGCAGGGCAGGACGATGCCTTATCCCAAGGACACATCTCAGAGCAGGATGAGGACTTGGCTGTCTCAGCTCCCCCAGGTGATGCCCTCCAGCTGTCTCTGCATTCCTGGTATTTTGCAGATGGTTGCAGGTTTTTTTGCAGACTTTTGCAGGTAATTCCCCCCTCCCCAGCAGCTCAACCCTCCCCGTTTGCAATTGCAAAGCAGAAAGCCTCAGCGCTGCCTCTCCCTCGCAGGCAGGGCAGGATGGGGCCGGTGCCAGGGGCTGCTCAGCACATGTGCTTGGGAAGGCGGCTTTCTCCAGAACTGCACGGTAATAACAGCCGCCACCGACCTCCAAATGCTTGGGAGATGAGATCCCGGCTCGCCGCTCACCGCCGGAGCCCACAGCGCTCCTTGCTTTTAGGGACCGGGGGGCTGCGCGGGGCCGGGGGGCTGCGGGGGGCATCCGGGGCTGCGCTCACCTCCCGGGCAGTGCTTCCTCAGGCGGCACCTGCGGCTCTCCAGCAGCGCGGGGCACGCAGCCCCCTCCTCCCGTGGGGAGCCCGGCACCTCGCGCACCCGCGTCTCCAGACCCCATTTGCAGCCGCAGCTCCGGCCCTCGTGAGTGCAGGCGCTCCACTCGCTCCAGGGCCCCGGCTCGCATGTTTCTGTAGGACGGGGGCGCGGGGAGGGGACGGTGACCACGCCGCGTTGGCACGGGGCGCGGGGTGCGCGGGGCGAGGGTGCCGCTTACCTTGGCACTCGCGGGTGCCGGGCTGAGCCGCGGTGCTGGGGGGGCACTGCCGGAAGCATTGGCCTTTGTGCAGGTAGAACTTCTCCTTGCATTTCATGCAGAAGTCTTTGCTGAAGCAGCTCTCGCAGCTGGGCGACCTGCACTCTGCCGGGGAGGGGGCTGTGAGCGGGAGGGCGAGCGCGGGGCCGAAAACCCCGGGGACCCATTGCAAACCCATTAGGTAAGGGAGAGGGGGCAATCCTTGCATCCCAGCCGCCTCATCTCCAGCCAGTGCCCAGGACTAGACGTCCTGGGGATGCTCCGGGAAGCGGGGGGACCCCGGGGTGCCCACAGGCAGAGCAGCTCTGCTGGCTGCACCACGTACTTGTGCATCTGTTGACCTCCAGACCCCGCACGCCGAAGTAGCCGGGGGGGCAGGTGTGGACGCACACCCCGTACTGGCGGATGCCGTCCCTCCAGATGAGCAGGAAGAGCCGGTGGTGGCAGGTGATGCAGCCGTTCTCCTCCGAGCACAGGACGCAGCCCGTGCAGTTCTCCAAGAGGCCGGCGCTCACTGTGGGGACAAGGATAGGGGCTGTGTGTGGGGGAGGGGGGGTGGGAACAGCAATGGCACCTTCAGCGCATCCCAATGACAGAGAAACCGGGAGCGGCTGGCAGGTAGAAATGTGTTCTGATACGTGCCAAGGGAACAAAAGGGTTTTGGAAACATCTGAGTGGAGCTGCAATAAGGATCCGTCTGCTGGCTCCAGAGCTGCCTCCGCTTTCCTCTGCCCCACTGCTGTGATTTACACAGGCAAAGCAGCCCTGGGGGGCTCTGCTCCCAGGGACGAGGACGTGGGCACATGGATGGGGCGCACCCCATAACAGTAGGGCATCTCCAAACTGGGCCCTCCCCGGCTTCTCCATGCACACAGCCAGATGCCTCTGCTGCACCCGGTGCTATTGGGAACATTCTCTTCTAGGTTGGAGCTCACCCTTCGTGCCTCTGAGCAGAAGTGCCTGCTGAAACAGTGGCAGCAGTGCCAGAACACAGCAGTGAGTGCACAGCACCCAGGTCCATCCGCTCACAGCAGGTCTGACAGCGTGGAGATGGGATTTTCCACATAGCAAAGCCATGAGGAGGAAGCAACCCTGGGCACATGGAGTGGGGCCAGATCTCCATATTGGCACACAAAAAACCCACTTGGGTAGTGGCACAGGTGGCAGTGCCATTGTCATCATGGTCCCAGAGCCCTCCAGGGAAGCAAGAGAGGGAGCATAGGACTGGGGGAGCAGTGAGGAGATGCAGGCAGAGGGGGCCCTGCAGCCCTACAGACCCGCAGCTCTACAGCTCAAGGGTAAAGGATGCACTGCAGTGGTGCCACGCAGCTGTCCCTGAGCTGCCCCCTCCTGCTCCTCGTGCCAGGGCACAGGGACTCAGGCAGCAGCACTTTGTGGCCAGGAGGCTGCGTGTGCTGGGAGCCCGCTAACGAAGCACCTTGGATCCATTAAGTTGTTATGGTCTCTGTTACATATTTACCAAACGCTGACAACATTTGTGTTCCTGGCTGCAGCCAGAGCGGCTTCCCAGGAGACGTGGGGATTTACGAGTGCCTTTCCCTTCCCTAGTTCTTTGGGATGATTTTCTTTGCCGCCCTCCCTCCATCTCCTGGTGGGCATGGAAGGTGGGGAGCCGATACCAGGACAGGATGGGATGTGATGAGTCGATGTTATGATGCCCACCTTTAAAAACAGCTCTGCCTGCGCATCGGAATGCGATTCCATAACACTGGGAACGGGGAAATCAGGGGCAGCTCTTGGGTACCCCTCCCCAGGTGCTGTAGATGCAGATGGGGTTGCACTGGAGGAGGGACCCCACCTGGATGCATGGAGCTGTGCTCAGAAACATGGATGCTCCCTCGCATCCCCCGTAGTGCCGGCTCACACTGCCAGCTTTTGGGGCTGTCCCCACACCGAGTGCATCGGCAGCAGCCTTGCCACCCCCATGGACACATCTTACAACCACGTACAACGCAGGGAAAACTGTCCATTTGTAATCCAAGGCCTCCGAAAAGCCCTGCTCTCACAATCTCCCATCCTCATCCCGGCACAAATTGAGCACCTCGTGTCACAGCCCCGCGGTGGCACTGCCCAGCAGAGGGGACACATCTCAGGACACCCTGCTCTGCGCCCTGGATCTGCCTGCTCAGGGGAAGGATGGGGCAGGGGATGGTGGTGTCTCCGAGCATCCTTCCAGGATGTTTTGCTCCTCTTGCATCTCCTGCATCGAGCTGAGAGCAGAAACACTGGCAAACCCGATTCCCTGCCCGCACCGCACCCACCCTACCTTGCTTTTTCCATCGGTTCTGCGAGAGCATTTCCATGGAGCTGATGAATAACAGCAACATGAATATTATCCACTGCATCTGGGCAGGAGGAGTGGAGGGCAGGGAAGAACTCAGACCATCCGAGCGGAGCTCACAGCATCGCCCCGGGCACGGCACAGCGCTACGGGGGCATGGGGCGGTCAGCGCAGGGCAGCGCCAGTGGGCTCTGCCTTTAAGACCACCGGCAGCCCCTCGCTTTTCCCCTCCGGAGAAATGGGGAGAAGGGAAAATAATCCCCGGAGACACCGGCAGGAGTGGGGACGGACGCGCTGCGGAGCCCCGGCCCGGGTCCGAGCGTCCCGCCGTCCCGCCGCCGTCCGTCTGTCCCGCTGCCATCCCGGCCCGGCGGGGGCACGGCGAAGCCCCCGGCTCTGGGGGGCGGGGACAGCAGGGTGGCTCCGCCCCGGGACGGCCTCGATCCAGTCCCGGTCGGGGGCGAGGGCGCTGGGTCCTGCGGTTGCATCGGGTGTGCCGAGCCGAGCCGTGCCATGCCGGGCCGTGCCAAGCCATGCCGAGGCCTGCCATGCCGAGCCAAGCAGCGCTGCGCCTTGCCAAGGCGAGTCAAGCCGAGCTGAGCTGGACCGATCTGAGCAGAGTGGAGGCATGCTGAGCTGAGCTGAGCTGAGCTGAGCTGAGCTGAGCTGAACTGAACTGAACTGCACTGAGATTTTCTGAGCAGAGCCAAGCTGAAGAGAGTCGTGTTGTGCTGAGCTGGGAGCAGATGAGTGGAACTGGGTCTTGTTAAGCTGAGCTGTGCTGAGCTGAAGTGAGCTGAGCTGGGCAGAACTGAGCCAAACCAAGCCAACCTAGCTGAGCCAAGCTGAGCTGCAGCTCCCAGCACCTGGCTCCCAAGCAGCTGCCTGCACCCCTCACCCTGTGTACAACCCAGGGGTTTCAGCACACTCAGAGGGAGCCCTGGGCCCACACTGAGCATCAGCAAGGGCAAGGCTTGTGTGCAGGATGCTCTGATCTATGTGTGGGATGCTTGGCAGTAGTTTCCCACCACAGGTACAAGACCTGCAGGCCAGAACCCTGAATGCAGGCTGCCCCTTACCCAAAGAATGGGCTTGGGATGTTCTGGGCCTGCTTTACCTTGGGAGGGCACAGGTCGGGCTGGGGGACCACTGAGCACCTGCAGACTCACTGCAGGAGAAAGCACTGCGGTGGATGCATCCATCAGTGTCACCCCAGTTCTGGGCAGACCTGGGGACAATTGGGGAGAGGGAGAGGGAGGGGGGGGGGAGGTGGCAGCTGCCCCACTGCTGAGCTGCACCTGCATGTCGGGGTTGCTGTCCTCACTGCCTCCATTCCCCACTTGGATTTCTCCCTCTCACTCCCCCAGCCCTCCCCAGGTCTCTCTGCCTCTCCCATCCCACACATGAGCATTTAATTCCCAAGGAGTTACGATTCAAAAAACAAAGGAACTGCTTCAGACCCCTTTGGAAACCAGGAATAACCATGGTTGGGATTGCTTTCGTTTTTTTTTTCTCATGCCATTGTGACATAAATTGAAAAGTTACCCATAAAACACAGGTTTTCAGCATCTGGCGCAGCACTGCTTTCCACAAACAAGGCCTGAAGGAACAGGGCACAGCCCTGTGCACAGCCTCATCCCACGGCACAGCCACGTCCTGTTCCCTTGTTGTGGATCCGTGGGGGCTGGCAGGGCCCTGTGTGTGCATAGCAGTGTGTGGCAGAGCAATGTGGGATCAGGAGGGTCTGTGTTTGTCCGTGAAAATGCATTTGACATATTAAAGTCCCCCACCAGCAGCCTGCCCCTACCTCACTCTCCCCAGCCCTTTGTCCCTTATAAATGGAGCTGCTGCTGCTCCAGGAGCAGCGGATGCTGCTGGCTGCAACTTTGCCACCCTGCTCCAGTTATTGCTGCCCTGATCCCAGCATCACCGCTCCCAGCATCACCGCCCTGCTCCTGGCACCACGCTGCATCTGAGGCCAACCCCCGTGCCAACACGCGCTCGTTGGGTGGCTCTTGTTAGCACTGTGTCCCTGGGGCCAACACACAGCAGGTCTCCCAGCTCATCCCTCAAGCTGTACAATGCCCATGGAGGCTTTGCCAATGACAGTGATGACACCATCCCCATTTGCTGTGCCATTTGCTGCTAACGAGCCCGATGGGTGATGAGTGCTTGCACAGGAGCGGATCAGTCCCGTTCACTTCCCTTAACGTGGTCATTTATGACTACTCCTCCTAAAATTGCAGTGGGAAGGGATGATTTGCCGTCCGCTCATTAATCAGGCGCCTGTTACCTCTTTGTTCTCGGCGGTGTTTCGGGGCGAGGTGCCCGGCTGGGGCCACGGCCAGGGGCTGTGCTGACTCACGGACGGCACCGGAGCGCGCAGAGCGGAGCCCGCGGGCGCCCTGGCAGCTCCCCGCTCCCTCCCGCAGCTCCACACCGTGCCAGCATTGGGGGGAATGTAATGTTCCTCCTCTGTCTTCCAAAGCACCGGAGAGAAAACTTCCAGAGAGATAATTCAGAAAGTTTGTTTGACACTTGAATGTGCTTTCATCTCTGGGAAATGTTGGGGGCCTTCCAAGGCTGCACCGCCCAGGGGCACCACGCTGCGATGGGTGATTTGGGGATGGGTCCAGAGGGAACTGCAGGGATGGAGGGATGCGGTGGGATGGAGGGAGCCCACTGGGATGGAGGGGGCCCAGTGCTCCCTGTGGGTGAGGCACTGATTCCTCCCAGGTCTGAGCCCCTGCGTGCCGTGCTGGCAGGGAGGGGCGGCTTTCCGAAGGCATCGTGCATCCAAAGCGATGAATATGGGTTTGATCAGGGGAGGATTTCGACGGATGGTAGTGGATAAGGAAGAAAAATATTTGGCATTCTTCTCCCATCATAACAAGCCCAGATGCTTGGACGGTGGCAGCCCACTTCCCACAGGAATGGAAATTCACAGCCGCTCCCCACGCCAGCTCTGCAGAGGCCCTTTCCCCGGCGTTTACGAAGTGACGGCCCCACCTCATACCAGGCGGAGCATCCTGCATCCTCCATCCACATCCCCTGCATTGCTGGTGTAATCCCATAGCATAGCCTTATCCCACGGCACAGCCACGTCCTGTGTTCATCCCATGGCACAGCTATGTCCTGCATGCTGCTGGCCTCGTCCCATGGCGTGGCCACATCCTGCACTCTGCCAGCCTCATCCCGGCCTCCTCCCGGCCTCCTCCTGGCCTCTCCCATGTGCCCCATAGCCCCGTGCTGGGGAGGGTGAGCTCTGGAAGCATTGAGCTGCAGGTTAATCATCCTTGCACCAGCTGAGAGCATGGAGCATCCTACAGCATCCTTACGGCAAGCTGTTCTCCACCTCCTCCTGCCATGCCCTGGTCTGTGCCAGCTCCCCTTTGTGCCTCCTAGGGGTTCCTCTGAGGATACAGAGCTGCTGGGCATGGAGCACGGAGGCAGCTGTACCAGGGAGGGTTGGCTTCACCCCATCCCCTGCCCTGCCAGCATTGCAGCTCCTCCAGTCCTGTCCTGGCTGCTGTGGCAGCTGTGCAGTGGTGGAGCCAAAACAGAAGCACACGCAGAGATGGAATTGGTCTGGAGAAGTGATGAAGGCAGAAAGGGCAGTGGGAGAAGGCAAATAAAGGAGGAAAGTGAAGGAGAGTGAAGAAGTGAGAGGGGAAGTTTGGTGCTGGAACCGAACTCCTCACCCATGCCAGCAGAACAGGTTTCCAAGTGTTTATTTTATCTCCTTTAGCTTAGCCCCTTAGAGGCAGAATATATTGAATGGCTTGACTTTATATAATGGAAATAATTGAAACAATACTCCTGGTTCCCCGCCACAGTTTGTCGTGACGTGAGCCAAGGGTGACAGCCTCTAGGTGGTGGGGACAGCCGCCCTCGGCACTTGTTGGCTGGTGATTGTTGACACATGTCAGCATTGCTTCCAGTTTCCGTACAGCTGTCAGAATGGGAACGATGTGATGGCAGCTGGCAAGGGCCGGGCCGGGGCTGGGCATCACCTGCAGCACTGGGGTTCTGCAGGGAGAGGGGAATTTGGGGCAGCACTGTGGGTGTGGGGATGGGGATGCAGGAGGGATGCGCTGGTTGTGAGTGCAGCGTCAGCCGTAGAAAGATAGAGGGAGAGGGATGTGGAGGTTGAGAGCAGGTGGAGGTTGTGTTATTTCCTTAGGAGTGGGAGAGCAGAGAGCTCCCTGGTGCCCAGCATCTCTGCAATAGGTCTGTGCCAAGGGGCCTTCCCATGAGTGCTACCCAACTCCTGTGCTCTCTGCTCGGAAGCCAGGAAGCCGCAGAGCTGGTTGGACCAAACAGGAGTAAATGCAATGTTGAGAAGTGCCCCTTGTCCAACTCCACCACGTTTCACTCCATGTTTGCTGAAGATTTGCAGGAAAGGGTGGTACAGAGCTTAAAAGAAAAATGAAAGCCGGGGGGAGAGCTTCGGGGAACTGCAGCACTGTACAGGAATTGGACAGAGAGCTCTTCCTGCCTTCAGGGCATTCCCCTGGCTGTGCTGCACTGTAGTTTGGGAAAGATTCCCTTGAGATAAAGCAGGGAAATGAGCTGCAGGGTGATGGATGGATTTGCAGAGCTGGGGCAGCTCCCAAAGAGGGGTCTGGCTGTGGGGAAACCCGGGGACACGGTGCAGGGCTGTGCCAGGCTGAGGACACCAAAGCATCACTGCAGGCAGTTTTGTTGCTGCAGTTCCCCCAGAGTGAGGCATCCACAACCTCTCTGCTGCTGAGCCACACCATGGAGCATTCCCTTATCTGCTGGGCAGGCTGGAGGCAGCCCCTGGCTCTCCCTGCAGTGCAAATTGTATACGTGTTAATGAAAGGGAGCAAAGCAGCGGTGCGTTAGCAGCTGGCCCTCTTCTGTTCACTGAAGAATCATTTATGCCAAATTCCAATTGAATTTCTCTTAATATTTCTGCTATTTAAGGAAAGTATTGGGAAAGACAGATGGAAGCATCGGTCAGATGCATGTCCCAGCTCCATGTGATTCAGCACTCAGAAGTCCTCTCCTTTTTCAAATAATTGCAGTGTGACTACGTCGCTCCCTCTCACCCGTCATTCCCAAGAGGGTCAACCCTCTGACTGCAGCCGATGACTCTCACCAGGAGGAATTCAGCACAAGACAAAGGCTCTGGGCAGGAGCTCCTGGGTGGTGGCATTCCCCTGGCAGCTCAGTGCCCAGAGGGATGTGGCTGCAGCTGCGGCGTTCGTGGTCCCCCCTTGCCTCCGCTCGCCCTCACCGTCCCGGTCATGTGCTGGTGGCCAAGGGCTTGGCACAGAGCTGGGGATGGTGGTTCTGCTCCTTGGGTGGCCAAGGAGAAAGCAAAACCCCAGCGGGGCTGAGAGAACAGTGCCAGTGATGGCAGTGCCCGGGTGCCACCCTGCCCATGCGCAGCCCCAGTGGATGCCACACAGCTCTGTTAGCTGCAAAGCCTCTCGCTTGCAGCCTGCCTGGGGATAGGATCCAATTTGTACCGTGACCAAATCGCATGGCTCCCTGCTTCCTTTCCTCCTCCCCGCCCTGGCTGGTGCTGAAAGGATTTGCTCATGGTTTTGGGCAGCAAGTTAGAAGGAAATAGCGTGTCTTGAGGGCCCTCTGGGCGTCAGCCCTTTGCTTGGATGTGGGTGAGCACATGGCTGAGTGCCTTCAGGCACAGACACGCAGCTCTGTGATGGGTTGGTGCCACTGGAGCCTCCCCTCCTGCTCTGGGTCAGGCTCAATGTCACGCAGCTGAGCGAAGAAACAGCCATGCACCTGCTCCTTGGCCACCTCGAAGTCCTGCCTGTCCTTGTCCTCCCTCCTTGCTCCAGGGGCCAAACGCCACCAAGCCACCCTGCATGGCCCCAGGCAGTGGGAGTCCCCAGCT